AGCAGATTAATTATGTTTGTGCACTTCAAGTAAGAAAAGGGATTATTGAATAGTCTTCTGTATTGATTTCCTTATTTATATGGCTACTCAGTGTGAATTTCTAGGAAAGGGCATGTGGAAATTAATTGCATTCAATACTTACTGATTAATATTCACAATTTTCTATTTCATGGTAACTGATACACTCTCTGTACAGTGTTCCTTCACCTTTGCCAAATGTTCAAAGGTATCGTTTCATATTTCAGTGTAAATAAGATGCAATGCCTACTTTTATTTCCTCCCTATTACTCTAATTATAGTGTGATTTTCCAGGCAGTCTGAAGTTATCTTCTGGTACCAGTGATATTTTTTGATTTAGAGAAGTTTCTGAATTAATCCTGTGGCTCTTTGGAACGTGAACATCAGTAGAAGTCCTACCTAAACTCCATTATACTATGGGACTTCACAAATCAGAGTACTGAGTGGTGTTGTGTGCATTAATTTAAAATATGAGTGGGTTTTAATTCAGTTTTGAAATTGTTTTTGTCAGTCAAAAGGTACATTATTCTTGCAGGAGTTTGCTCTTCTTGGTCTGACTGTGCTATCTCAGATCAACCTAATCACTTTGTAATGCAATAGTGTAAATAGCAACATAGCACAGGTTACTTACTGAAGAATGGTTTCATTATGGTTTAATCTTAAAGTTGGAAAAGTAGTATGGGGACTCTCTATAATCTTAACTGTGTCTTTTCTGGGGTATAAAGATTTGATCCTTAGGGCATTCCAAATTTTTGCAGCACAAATAATGATCAAACAAATTCTGTCCATTACCATTTGGCCTGGAAAGCACCTTTCTTTCTGTTGTCAAACAATACATCTGTTGCCTCGGTGAGAGAAATCAACCTTTGCTGGACCAAGGACTTTGGGTACCTCATGTGTGGAAGCCAAAATCCATTATCTATCTCCTTAGTAAGTCTGATAGGACTTCCTAGCTCTAGAAAAGGGTGTTTCAGATGCGTTACCAAACATAGTTTTTTAAGGCTTTCTCTGCCTGAGAAACTTCACACTAGCAAAACCAAGAATTACCATGTAATGACCCAGTTTAATTTCAGTTGTTCCTCGATCTGAAGACTGGATGTTGTCCAAACAAAAAAGGTCATAGAGCAGGCTACCAAAGTGTTTAATGTATTAAACTACCAATTTAAAAAAAAAATTTCTAAAGGCTGTGGCGTAAACAAGGCATTATAAATTAATATTTGGATATTGTTGTACTTTGACTCAGTTTTGTTCGGCACAGAGGAAGAATAACAACTATTATCAATAGGAAGAAAAACTGATGTGTTTTTTGGGGGATGTTTGTTAGGTTTTACTTCACTGGTAATCTATTTCATAATCAAAAAGAAAGAGTAGCAATTTGATGTGAATTTTGCAATATATACTGGTTTGGGCTTTAAAATCCATCCTTTTCTAGCATGAATTTTTTTTTAAATTCCCCCGGTGAGGAGCATGCAAAACTGCTACAGTAGGCTCACAAATTGTCTGCTCCACCTTCATCGGGGAAAGACCTGTCATCAACATTCAAAGTATGCTCTTCTCTAATTGGTTTTGCTCTAGCACTGCTCTGTTCAAGAAGATTGAATCTATGTTCCTACTCTTCAAAGGTAAAATAACTGCAACAAGAAATGGAACTAATTCCTACTATATTAGTTACAACTTGTGTAGGAATTGTTTTAAATTATGGTGGAGTAATCAGGCCTCGGTTAATGGTCTGAGTAACAGCAGTGTGGATCTTGATTTGGAAAATTGTGCCTTGTCTCACACCTATAAATATGCATGGAGGAGGGGGGATTTTCCTCACAGATAAGATGAAATGCATAAGTGTAGTAGGAGGAATCCTATTTTATATAAAACATGAACAAAATTAAAAATCTGGCTTTTAATCATCTTAAGCTCTCTCTTTGTTCCTGAATTTCCTTATTTAAAAAGAGGAGCCAATGATACTTGCACTTCTTTTTTTTTATGAACCCCTTGGTCATATGCAGACGAAAAGCTCCAGGTGGGAGCAGAGTATTTCACTGAATAAGGGTATTTTTGTGTGAGACTGGGACATCGACTGGTTGCAGTGACTCATTCATTAAAATGACTCTGGTATAGGATTTTTGTTTCTGTAAACTGAATGTACATACCTGCTATGTCTGTAGAAACAATTTAAACAGGTAAAGAGAACAACACTTGCACAGCACTTAAATCTACAGTGTTGAACTGTGAAGATTATACTGACTCAGATCCTGTTTTCTTCCTTATAAGAACAATATTTCAAGTAGTATGTTTGTTGTTTTTCCCTAGGAACAGCCCAAGGGAAGAGTTGCACACTTCTTTGCAATTAACGTGACAGCTGAGTTTGGGTAAAGCTGTTATATTTTCCTCTTTTGAACTTCCTGAATTCCTTTGTGACATTGCTAAAGGGATATACGTTCCTCTTCCTTTTCTTAGTCTCACTAAATATACCCTTGTGGCTTACAATATTGTGAATTTTTCAGTCCTAGGCTGGCCTGTGGATTCTGATATCCTGCATACCAACATTCCCAGTCCACTGGCCCAACTTAGTTCCTTTGATTTTTCGTGAAATATGGCTTGTGGACTAATCATCCTTTGCAGCGGCTGTTAAATAAGAGTTATGTTAGTTTAACAATGGAAATAGCTTGTGTTTTTTCTCCAGAGAAAAGACACCTATCAACGGCAGTCTAAAAAAAAAAATCTTTCTGTCACAGAGCATCTTTCTAAGCATTGATTCTTCTTATATTCTAAATCATTGGGGGAACTGCTCAGTTCCATGGGGTTGAACTGATCATCCTTGGGCTATGCCTGAAGCAACTGCTGAGAATTTACTTGGTGTTTAGTTTGTATTGCTGTCGTGTTTAGGAGCCTTGATTTTAAAGCCTGGTGTGGTAGATAATGTATAGGGATAATACATGGGGGCAGATGCAGTTCCAGAGAGCTCTGCCATAGAGTTATTTCTGCGTAAAGTGAGTGTTGCTGACAAGTTCAGTACAACTCTAAATTGTCGAACTGTGCTTTGAGACGCTCTTGTACCTTAACAGTATTTTGGAAATGTTAAGAACGCTACTCTTCAGATACTTCTCGTACCTCTGTGTACCTCAACAAAATGGAAAGTCACATATTTACACAACAGAATAAAAGTTCTGGTTTGATTCTAACTGTAACTGACCTAAATATGGTAACTTTGCCTGTTTGGTTTTGCTTTGCACATCTGCCTTTTTTTCTTTTTTCTTTTTTTTTGTCTGGATAACTGGGGAAAAAATAGCTCATACACTGTTTGCATGGGCAGTATTGCTAATTGTTTATCATGTAGGTTGCCTTAAAAGCATTTCTGTAATGCTGCATGTGTTCAAAATATATTTGCAGTAAATGCTATTTGAGGCTTTGTGTGATTAGTATTTCTGTTGATGTAATCTTCAGGTGTCGTATAATAAGTACCCAAATAAAACTACCTGTATATCCTCCTCCTATCCATGAACATTTTGTTAAAATGACTCGTGATGTTCAAATTCCAACAAAGGCAGGAAAAAGCTCAGTTTTGTGAGTTTGTGGTTGAGGTAACCCTCCCTATTCATTCTGCATCCCTTGCTGCCCCCAGAGTCTGCAGTAGTGATGCAGATCAACAGTCCTTACAGTTCACCTCTTGATTAATCCTTAGACTTCGATCCTTAATATATTTTAAATTATGTAGTGGTATTACAGTGAATGCAGTTGGTGAACATTGCAAGAGACCCCTATCTGTACTGCTGTGTAAAAGCTGAACAAATCTGGGCTTAGTGGGCTTGTTTTGCATGCCTGGCTCTGTGACCCTCAGCCTACTCATACTGCCTTGCACCTGGTGATAACCTCTGTGTTTCAAAGAAATGTCATTTATAGAAAACTAACCACAATAGTATTCTAAGAAAATGGTTGTAACCATTAAATAGAGGGAGAAGAAATTTTCTTGGACTTAATTTATGTTTGTTGTTTAGACTTTTCTTTAAAGTTCTTTCATTCACTGTAGAAACATTGGCAGTCTACTTGAGGATACCAGCATTTTTTTAATTCTATACCTATGAGTTCAACCTGCTTTGTGAGCAGTACTTCAAAAGTAGGCTTTACTATGCCATTCACTGCCCTTCAGGGAAATGTGACTTTTCTCTTCTGTTCTTACAGTCATGTCCCTTGTCCTTCCTGCCAGCTAGACTGGGAGAGGGAAAGGAGAGCAAGAACTCTGTTTGAGTACTATTAGTTTATAGATCGCTTTTGAGCTGTGGAAGTATTAGCCTTATCTTGTGTGTAGCTTCTTACTCAATTTAAAGTCCTATTGGCAGTTTTAAAATGTTATCAGCAGTGCTGTATATTTGAATTTCATTTGCAGCACATCATCTGCTTGGTTTGGGTACTTGGACTCTCATTTTATTTGTGGACATGCACCTAAACTGATTTGAAACCTATACTGTGAATCACTGTATACAGAAAATGTTAAATAATGTTTATTCACTGCTAGGAAAATATGGAATTGAGCTATTGTCATCCAATAAAACTTGATTTTGTACAGCATTTTTCATGCAAATTATATTTGAATGCTTTAGAAGTAAATAATACTGAAGGGGTAAAGAGGCATTTTCAGTAAACATAGCAAGCAGAAAGAGTATTCCTCTTTTTACAGAAATTAGGTAGTCAGATGAAACAGATTACAGAAAGGTGTTTGTGTTTGAACTGGGCTCACAGGATGCAGTGCTCTTTCCTATGTATCGCACGAGAAGTTAAAAAATAACAGATAACAAAATAAAAGATAACAAACTGGGACAAAACAAAACCAGTGATTTTGAGTAGAACCAAATCGGCACCACTGTTCCAGTGTTTCGGGTCAGAAATAAAATATTCTTGACTGGAAAGGAAGCTCTTGGAATATTTTAAATTAACACATCTTTTTGTCGTCTTGCAGAGCATTTCTGTGTAGCACTTGATTAGCTACTATGAGCTTGCTATATAGCGATAACAGTTGTGGAGCCCGAGACGGGGAAAGCGGCTGCTGTGCAGCCATGGCCAGTGCCTGCAGCGTTGGAGCGAAAGAAGATAGCGTAAGCGTCAGCAGTGGGACTGGAAACCCTGCAAGTTCTTTCACAGAGGAGACACAAGGCTATGATGTGGAGTTTGATCCGCCCTTGGAAAGTAAATATGAATGTCCAATCTGTTTGATGGCTCTTCGGGAAGCAGTGCAGACACCATGTGGACACCGTTTCTGCAAAGGCTGCATTGTCAAATCAATAAGGTAAAGAAAAATCTATGGAAGTTGCTTTTAAGAAGAAATTCACTTACCAAATCAGGGCAGTTTACGGACAATGTAAACTGAATATAACTGCTTAATGTGCATTACCAATGAGTGCAAACAGAATTTATTAGAGGTGCTTTATAATAAACACAATGTATGGCCAAAACATCATGGGTTTGGAGATTGCATGAGCTGTAGATATTTTGCCATTTATACAAATTTACCCAGATTATGAATCTTAAAAAAATAGCTTGAGTAAGCATTAAGTAATAATTTTGTAAAAGTAGCCTCCAAATCCTCCAAATAAATTCCATTTTCAGCTCAGGATTATAAAACCTGTCTTTTCCCTATGATTGTTTCTCTTGATAACTACAGGCAACTACAGACAACACGGTTTCTTGGTGCAGATACAGCAATTCATGCTTTCAGTTCTTCACTTGAAATCAGCTGCTGCTTTGTTGAACTGGGAGAGAGAATGTAATGAGGGAATAGTCTTGGACAAAGCATTGAGAGAGGAAACTAGGTGACATATGGGGGAGCAGGAAT